AATGATAGGAAAAGAATTAATAATTACTTAAATTTTTAAATAAGACGAATGGTCAAATATGTTTAAAAAAATCAATGACGTCAAATATTTAAGGATGGAGGGAATATTATATCCTAGACTAGTTAGGTTGATTATTTTTAAGACGGAGGAAGTTAAGCACTGTGGCATTGACTATAGAGATAGTGGGATCCACCTTATTATTGCTATCTATAGCCATAAACATCGAGCGTAAGCGTACGTCGCCAGTTAAAAGGCAATGCAATGTGTCCAGATTTAAACTCAGAGTTTATTTATTTATTTTTTTATAGAGTAGTACTAGTGAATTAAGTCAGGGCCGGTGGTACCACGAGTCCAGTAACTGTTTCTATTGGGTGAGATATCACTATATGTCTATATCAGAGTAATCATATCTGGTTCTGCTCCGTTACTGTAGATCGCACGATTTGTTTTTCTTTCGTTGGGCCATCGTCGGCCAATCAATCTACTCCTCCATTCCAAAATACAAGAGCAAGTTCAAGTTCAATAGTATAGTCAGCTACTAGTTTCAATTCATCTATAGCCAATCTAATAAATCATTTATACAATAGTTACATACTACACTATTAATATCTGGTCCCACCTGTTATACACACCCTGCGTCTTGGAGTCCGTGCTATAACTGGCTACAAATCTGTAGCCTGCTGCTCTTCTCTCTCCTCATTTAACTTCTTAAAATATATTTGCAGCTGGCTTATAGCCTGCTATTGTACCTGCTCTAAGACATAACCACCCTTAACCCAAAAACCAAGAAATAATTATTATCTTTTAGTTTGGATCATTCTAATAAATATAATGCATGCATCCAATATAATTTGATAACATGTGACTGGAGGATTTAAAATAGTAATAATTTAATGGAGAAGATGCCATAACTAATTGTATGCTTGCATGCATATCTTATATTATGGAACATTTAAGAAAAGTGGTTGTGCCTTATATGATATGGATGGAGTATCTAATTAACTAATTAACCAGCTCGATCGATCGACATATAGTGCCACTGTGCAGTCTGTACTACGTGTGGAAAATTGCAGCTAATCAGAGACCACATGGTGATTGTGTTATATACGGAAATCGTACTAAACGATCGTTATCATTAATTGATGTTACTATTTCTTATTTTATTTGCTCACAAGTCAAACAAACTGAGAAATGGGTTCAACTTAATCTGATCCATCCTAACCCTTAAATCAAACACATGCTAAAAGAACTAAAGACTAATAAGTGCACGCTCATGTGGACGTCCTCCGCACGAACACTTTCTCACGCATTATTATAGCTTCATTGGTCGCTAAGAATTGATTATGTGTCAAATGGTTTATTAACATAAAAAAATAATAGTGAAAATGTTTATATGTATGTGTGCGCGCGCGCGCGCGTGTTTAGTGACTTGAAAACTAATTCTGGACAAAAATACATTGAAAAAAAAAATCCCTAAAATCAACCTTAAAATTTATATTTTAGTGATGGCTGATTCTATAGAGGGTAAACGATAAGGTTTACCGTTCTGGTCGCGTACATGTGGTGGAGAATAACCGGTGATGCGATTTCATGTTAGCTTCTCATCTCATCCGAATAGAAGATGGACCGAGCATTGAGCTTAGAAATTGTTTGGATGGATTGCACGCAAATATGCGACGTGAATAGTACACTGGTGAAGAAACTATCTTTGGTCGGTCGACCAAATTTCACAATAGTCCCGGTTGTATTAAAAACCGGGACTAAAAATATCTTTAGTCCCGGTTTTAAAGCTCCAGGGGTACTTTCTAATCTTTAGTACCGGTTGGTGTTACCAACCGGGACTAAAGATCTATTTGTAGTCCCGGTTGATAACACCAACCGGGAAAAAAGATCGCCATAAACTTTACTCCCGGTTGGTGTTATTAACCGGGACTAAAGATTTATTTGTAGTCACGGTTGATAACACCGACCGGGAAAAAAGATCGACGCGGAGATCGGAGAGGCCTACGCGATCGGATCGAGGTATCTCCTCCCCTCCTTTAACTCCTCCATCCTCCTCTCCTCAACCTTATCTCCTCCTCTCCTTTTAACTCTCTCCTCAACCTTATCTATTCCTCTCCTTCTCCTCTCTACACAGCAGCGGTGGGGCGAGGAGATGCTAGGCTGGCGCGAGGGCGGCGGGGTGCGGAGGGCGGCGCGGCGCCCGGTGAGGCGGTGGCCGCCGGCGGCGGCCTTTGAGGTGGCAGCCTGCGGCGGCAAGGCGCGGATGGCCGGCCGGCCGGCGCGGCGAGGCGGCGCCTAGCAGTTTTTTTCTTTCTTTCTTTCTTTTTTGAGAATCTGAGCTGAGCTGAGATTGTTGTGAGATGTATTTGATTTGTGTGTGATGTGAATATGTGATAGAATTTTGTAGAAGTTGTGATGTAATTTTTTTTAAGATTTTGTGATGTATTTGAGATGATCGATTTGTGGATTTGAAGGCAATTTGAGGATGATTGTTTTGGGATTTTGGGGACGGGATAGGGTTAGGGTGAAATCAATATATTAAAAATAATAAAGAGAAGAAAATAATAAAAAAAGCAACCGGATTTGCCTCTTTAGTCCCAGTTGGTGTTATCAACCGGGACTAAAGATAAACACCAACCGGGACTAAAAATCGATTTTTACTCCCGGTTATCTCACCCGGGACTAAAGATAGGATTCGTAGTCCCGGTTGGAAAACCGGGACTATATAGAGGTTACGAACCAGGAGTAAAAACCACTTCTCCACCTGTGGTACTTTGTATTTATTGTTTTTATGAAATTTGTCTTCTTTTGTGTGGAAAGTTTTTCAAACATAAGTGCTTAGCCATTAGATGAGAAAGTTAGGCCCTGTTTGATTCAGCTTAGGATTATTATAATATGAATTATTAGGAGTAAGCTAAAACAAACAATTAGATTATTACGATAGATTATTATAATCTGTAAGCCAGATCGCTATAATCTAATAATCTTATCTGGAGGAGCTTTTTCCAGATTATTGGATGGCTAAAGACCCACTACCCTTATATGCCTTCAATAATCCAGAGAAACAAACAACTCACAGCTTATTTTATATTAGCTTATTATAATCCAGCTTAGAGTAATCTGATTTAATAACCTAGATTATAATAAACTTAAGCTGAAAAAAACATAGTCTTGTATGGAGCACTACTGTTCAGTGAAGTAGAGGAACATTTTATTGTTCGGGACCTTTGGGGTAGAATGTTTTGCCTTTTAACAGAAAGTTTCTTTCTTATTCCGTTCTTATTTCATTAGCAGTTTTGACTAAAAAATTATTCACAAATTTGCAAGAAATCCGATGCTTAGTTTTCCTTTTTACCATAAGCTAAATAATCAACTTCCATCCACAACAATCTAGAAGGTCTTTTTTACAGCATGTCCACCTACTTGCAATCTACACGACTAAATAATAATATCCTAGACGTAAAATGGTCATAAAAAAGACCACAATTTTGTATTGTTTATTCTTGATCGTTCGTTTTGTTTTTTAGAAAATATGGTTAGTATTTTTGTTGCTATTATATAATAAAACATGAATAATATTTTATGTGTGACTAATTTTTTAATTCTTTCATAAAATTTTTAAATAAGACAAACGTAAGACGAACGGTCAAACTTTAGACACGGAATCTCACAACTGCACTTAAAATGGTACGAAGGTGGAATGTATTAAATATATATGGTCAAAATAGTAATTAAATGACGGAGGGAGTAATATCTTCCCCATAAAATTAGAAGTCTCTGCTCACCCAAAATAGGTTATCGTCGGGGATATAATAAATGAGGACGTGACGATGCACGATTTTGTACGACAAATTCCGAGGCCAGACTATCGTTTTATTTGAATTTTCTTTTTTAAAAAAATAGTCACACATAAAGTACTATTTATGCTTTATCATCTAATATCAATAAAAGTACTAATTATAAATTTTTTAAATAAGATAAATGGTTAAACGTTGGATATGAACAAAACTACACTTGTTTTGGAATGAAGGGAGTACTACTTGATTTTGGTTTCCAAAGATCTCTTATCAATGGGCTTGTTATTACTGCTTAATGCTTCACAAAGTACTAAAAGTCCACTACAACTCCTGAAAATGCCCCGCAATTCAAAGACCAAAAGATTGCCCGTTCAGTAATCAAGGGCTCTTGACAAATTGCATTCACGAAAACGCCCCCAGCGAATGCTGAGTAAAACAGGTTGCGATCACGGGGCGCACAATTTGTCAAGAGCCGTGCGCACGCGAACTGTTGGAAAAAACTCGAGACGACAACAGTGCGTTCAATAATGCGCTACATCACCTTTATCAAACTCACAGCTGCCAAGAAACTCAAGAAAGACAGGCACCACAGACTTGTCAGTTGCCACTTGCCACCCGATATCTTCGATCTCATCGTCATTGGCATTTCTTAATTCATCGATATATATTTATCCAGATTCGTTGTCTTAAAAAATATTCTTAAGACCACATCTTTTACCCTATCACATATATGCCGATATCAAACTTAAAACTTAATTTTGAATTTTGAGTTGAGTTGATTTTGAGATTTTTTTTCATCACAGTTTCTTTTTTAAGATTGGCGTTTAAGTTATGAAGAACACATATAGACAGGTTTTAACTATAAATTATTTTATTGCTAATACATCATTTGTCGAATTATTAGTAATTGATTTGGCGTATTATCTGTAATTGGCCAACTGATGGCAGCCCTACAACTGATACTTGGATATATTAAGAAATCAATCAGAGTTGTTTGCCACTACATGCAGCAATTTATTCTCGACTCTCTATCATGCATGAGCTTGAAAGCGACTATTCCTCCAATAACATGAAGCAAGTGAAACAAAATCAAGAGCTCAAGGAGCACTGATCAACGTGCTTGATGTAAATTATAAAATAATTTTTTAAAAAGAGAGAGAGAGAGAGTGGAAGAAATCTAGAAGCAAATGACACCCAGAAGACGGCCAGAAGAACTACACCAGTACCGCACAATTAAATTATTGAGGATCATACATATTCTTGTCCCCTAATGATTGAGGCAGTGTATTACTGTATTTGCTACATGCTCAGATGAAATTCAGAGATGTGAGCGCGGCCAATAGCTTCTGGAACATAAAAATACAAGTGATACTCTCATACAGTTGCATAGTGTGCATCCTGATTAGCGCTTTGTGCCTGGACGAGGGGGGCCAAGATAGTTCGTCACCAAGCCCATAACTGCAAACCTGGCAATATCACAATTTTGGTGAGTTTCTTCTAGTGAAAGATCTGGTGACATAGAGAAACATTGTAGGAAATCAAAGACCAAAAGTTGGCGGAAGGGAACATAGGGTGTGTTTGGCAGTTGTAAGTGGCTGCTGGCTGCAGCTGCCTTGAACTGCCGCAGCTGCAGTCGCTGCGGTAGCTAGCACAGCTGATCAGCCCCATAAGTCCATCAGGAAATTTATTTTCTTAACAACTTGTTCCTTTCTATTAAAAACATGAAACATTTTTTGGTTGACATAGCATGATATCTGAAATCTAGATAAAATTTCTGTGGTCAATAAAGCATTACTCAACGCGATCACGTTGAGGATATTAGATATTTTATTTGGAGATGACCACTTGAGTAGTTCAGCTTTCTGAAATCTGAAACATACCCCTGATAAAATATTCTTAAATAAAGCAGAACGACAGAATGCACAACATGGGAAGGTGGTATATAGACCCCTTCCAAATTGTAGATATATCTAGTTGATTTGACAACTTCTGTATTCTTAGTGTTGTTTTCATAGTGCAGTAATAGACCAACCTTGTAACTTTGTTTTTAACACCACCAATTAACCAAGCATATCACCTATGACTATACCTATGTCAAATTTGAGCAATAATAAGTTTAATAGGTACGCAAAGTTAGATTATTTCAACTGTGCCGAAGAAGTACGCAAGTCCCAAAAGAAGGCAGGTAAGGTTTAAGAAGAATCCTTGACAAATAAACTTTCATCCTAAAAATCCTTTCAACTAATAGAATTTCATTCCTCTGCACTAGAGAGAAACATTATTTGAATTATTGTTTGATAAGCAATGGTATCTCATTGAATATGGTTAGAAACTTAGAGTGGTAATTATTGAGTGAATCAGCTAAGTAGCTACTCCCTTCGTTTCAGGTTATAAGACATTTTGACTTTGGTCAAAGTCAAATTGCTTCAAGTTTGACTAAGTTTATAGACAAATATAGTAATATTTATAATATCAAATTAGTTTCATTAAATTGATAATTGAATATATTTTCATAATAAATTTGTCTTGGGTTGAAATATTTTTATTTTTTTCTACAAACTTAGTCAAACTTGAAGCAATTTGACTTTGACCAAAGTCAAAACGTCTTATAACCTGAAACTGAGGTAGTAACATCTAAGGGGTGTTCTAATCAGCTTATGTCTTTATGGATTATGGGCACCACAGTTCACAAACCACGATTTTTCTACATCAGCATTGTGTAAATAACTTGTTCTGAGCTATTATATTCATTAGGTTTATAATATTTATTATTTAATTTATCCCTATAAGCAAGGTGGAGACCACAGATCAAGAGACTGGGGATTGGATGAAATTGTCACAGAAGAGGGACAAAAGAAGATGTTGGCTGTTTTATTAATTTCCTGCTTTATCCTGTGTTTGATCCAGTAGTTCAAGACAAGTTGGTTGTAGTGGTGTTTGTCGGAGTGTTGTCATGTCTTTTATCCTTTGCTGCTCTAGCTACTTAAACTCTGTTAAGACTTTTGTCATCTCATTTCGGTAATGAAATGGAGAGTTCTTGCTCTCTTTCTCAAAAAATAAAAATAATCCCTATAAGCAATTTCCATAATCTGTCCAATCATCATCTAGAATGCTCACGAAGTTTAAAATTAGTTCCCCAGTGCTTATTACCTTACTTCTCATTCACCACATTAATAAAGTACCAAACTAGCATTACAATTTACAAACTCCAAGTCAGGGCAGCTATGCACAAAGAGTGGAAAATGATGGGAATAGCTAATCATGTACGTTATAATGACTACACCTATGAGAAATGGCATTCACAATACAAGATGGGTGTATAATTTCCACTTGGGTCAAGCTGATAACCGTTCCTTTCCAATGCAAAGACAGTACGTCCCATAAATTTATCATTGTGAACAGACATTCAGATCATACAACGCGAAACCAGAGGACATAAAAGTACTAAGGGTGTGTTTAGTTCACGCTAAAATTGGAAGTTTGGTTGAAATTTGAACGATGTGACGGAAAAGTTGGAAGTTTGTGTATGTAGGAAAGTTTTGATGTGATGGAAAAGTTGGAAGTTTGAAGAAAAACTTTGGATCTAAACTCGGCTTAAATAAGTTGATGACTATAAATATTTTGGTTAACTTCTAGTTTAATTAATACAGACCATCAAATTGTCTTACTGCCAAAGCATATGTTGCTGCATGTTCCTCTAGATTTGAAATTCGAGTAGTATTTCCTAGTGGTTAAACAATGCATAAAGTAAATACGTGAAGGGAACTCACATGAAAGCCATGGATAACTGCTTGAGATCATTCTCGAAATTCTTCATGTTCACCAGAGACTGCGCGCAGAAGATGATAGCGATCCACGAGCACACCTTGTACTGCAAACAAACAGGTTGCAAGCCGATTTTAAACAAAGCCAACAATGACCCAGCGAAATAACAATACATCAGAACATCGCCACCACCGATTACTTAGCAACCCGCAATTCACAAAGCGTGGGGGATACAGATCTAGCAGCCTCTCGCGCAGATCCATCTAAACTCAGATCGGAGCCCGAGCATGAGCAAGGCAGACGGGGAGCGTAGGTCGGGAGCGACGAGTAGTGGAAGGCGTGGTGCTTGCTCTGAGATCGAATCGAGATACCGTACCCGGAGCATGACGCCGAGGACGCCGAAGACGACGGCGAGGAACCCCGCGTAGTCGATGGGCAGGTCCTGCGGCGACAGCTTCGGCGGCGTGTACTGCCTCGCCGTCGACGGCTGCCGCGGGTCGTTCACCCCCGCACCCCCGCCGCCGCCGCCGCCCGACGACGTCGCCTCCTTCATCTCCTCTCCTCTCCCCTCCCCGATTCGAAACAAAACGAGAGTAGGAAGAAACTGGAGGAAGAAGATGAGGAGGAAAAAAAAAGAAGAGTAGTTAATTGGATTGGGCCGGGCCCACCGGCCCACGGCTAGGGCCCACCGCTTCGGTCCGAGCACTGAAAAGTCAAAGCGGCGCACGAGTCGGCTTCCTCCAGTTTCACACTGCTTCGTCCGTCCCCTCTGCTGCTTCTTTTTTTTGTCGCCCACTCCTCTCTCTCTCTCTCTCTCGCTCTCTGGCTCGCGAGCTCCAAAACCCTAACTCCCTGAGCTAGCCGCGGCGCGGAGGGGGAAGCCGGGGAGGTCGGAGCAGCGCCGGCGCGGTGCCTCATCGCCGCCGCGCGGTCTATTCGGTATGCGCCCCCGCGATTGCTGGCTCCAGCTCGCTTGCACGCACGCTCGTTTTTTGGTAGCTTAGCTTTGGCTGTTTAAGCGGTTGAGCTGAGCTGCGAATTTTAAGTGGGGTTTCTAGTGCTAAGCTTCTAATTGCACTGTGTGCGCGTGTATTTGTGATTAGCTCAAGTAGTTTTGGGGTTTAATTAGATTCGTATTGAGCTTGGGGTTTTGGGGTTTTGGTATTACTGTGTGTTAGGACATTAGCTGTTGCTTGGTGGTATACCGCATTCAGTTCTTGCAGTACTGTAGTAGCTTCGAGAGGTCCGCTCTAAATCTCTTTTTGACCTGCTGCTAGCTAACTGGCTACAAGCGTGGAGGTTCACCGGCAATTATACTCGATCGCGATCCATGGTTTTTGAAGGACTGTCCTTACCATTGCCCTGTTAAGATGTTGAATGTTACTAGCTTACTAGTTACTGTACATTGTTTGATATAATTTGATTGTTGAATGCGATTGTAGTTGGTCCAAACTTTGTGATTAAGATGTAGTTGGCATGTGGTACATGCCTTGAAGAGACGTACCTTAGTGTTTATTGGCATCCCGCATGGTACACAAGTCAAGCAGTTACTCAATGTTAGTAAATTGAAGGGGAGACATATTAAGTGATCACTGTTTTAAGGGTGTCAGATAGCTGTGCATCCTCATTTCTATTCTCTTCAATTAAGATGTACCTCATCCTTAATTTTTCTAACAGTGGGTACACACTTTAGGCTGTAAGATGCATTACTATTAACTGTTGGGTTGCCACGCTACACATGCTCATTGGCTAGTTATTTGAAAAATAAAAAAGAACTTCACCAGTCAAATTGTGCTGTAGGCATAGTTAAATCTTAAAATGATTACATCATGATAGTACTTGATAGGACTGTAAGCCCAACTCAATACCCTGTGTCACTCACTCATCATGTTTCTGAAGGGAGTACTCTTAGCCATTAGCAATGTTAGGCTATGATACAGTTTTATCAATTACTATAGCATGCTGACTAAAAGTACTACTTTTTCACGTTTCAGGGGACCAGTGAATTTCTTATTGCAGTCCTGGTATGGTGAGTGCACCAAAATGTTGGCAAAAGTAAATGAATCTGGTATAAAAGATACGTCAGTCAACTGCAGTACGTCTGGTTTTCAACAAGATGCTAATTATGAATTCTCAAACCGAGCTTTACAACATGGATATTCAGTTCCCGGACCAGTCTTTGAAGAAAAATCTTTTTCAGCGGCCCAAGAGTTTGTTCAGAATAGTCACCAATTTGACCACTTCTTGAGACCTTTTCGGCCTGGACAATGTGAAGGAATGCAGATGCCAAATGATAACCTAGACATCACCCAACGCAGCATTCTTTCTAATGCATCGTGTCTTGATCATGCAGAAGAAATAACTTCATATGATACTGATGGTTATGACGATAGAACAATCTCATTTGGAAGTAGCTGTAGCACAATACCTGCAAGTTATCCATATATTAGCCCTTTGCAAAGAAATCACCTCATTTCAGACACACGGGACTGTACTTGGACTGCTCTTATGCAAGAATCTCTGGAAGCGTCTAACAGTAACAATGGACTCAATGAAGATTGCAGTGACTTGACTTTCAGTAATACAGAATTTTCAGGTGGGAATAAAATGCAAAATCAAGTTGTCTGGGACAATGGCTGCCTAACAAGTCCATCTTTTACCTCAAATTTTTTGCCTTTCCCTGGAGATGCTGAGTCCGCATTCACAAGTGCCAGCACTGTTTGTAACTTACAAAATTTTGTTGATCTCCCACATGATATGAATAATAACGAGCAAGACAAACCATCTTCTGAGCTCAGAGCGCCCCAACAGAAAGGGGCAACAAGAAGCCATATTTGTCAACATCGAGATGAAATGCATTCTGCTGAATGGGGAACATATCCTGGTAATGAAGACTCTGATTTGATGCCAGCTGCACAGGATAAGCAGAATAAAGTATTGCATGCACAGTTCAATTCATCTGTTATTAATATAGATGGATCTGCGGGTAGTGGCATGGAAAAGCTACATGGCCTGTATGAATGTGAAGAGCAAATGGAAATTGATTCACTTCTTAATTCATTCAGTGCACCAAGTGATGCTTTTTCACAATCATATGAAATATTCCAGAAAAGGTAAACCTGATTGTAATCTCATTATATCATTGCTGTAATAAATTCACTATTTCATTTCCAGTCTAAAGTTGAAATCTGCTTGCATAGAATTAGTATTGTTGTTCTAAAATTATGCACTCTGTATTCTGCATCTTGAACTTCTGTTAAACCAAATTTAATGAAATGCAGTGAAAGTTTTGTTGGTCTTGACAAAAAGGTTAAATTAGAGGAAAGTGTTTCTGCCACATGCTTCAGCAATACCGTTCCTTGTATGCAATCTGGGGCTCCTGAGTCAGCTATATCTGATGGATCTTCTTGTCATCAACAGTATAATTCTACTTCTCAAGTAACTGATTTATTTTACACTTCAGCATCTCAATGGGCAACAACGTCAAGTTCTGTTTTGCCTTTACCTTTTTGTGGGTCCAATCCAGTGAGTTGCCTGGGGGCAAATGGTGAAGATCACTTGCTTACCGATGACCATACTTTACTGCATGAGCAACGAAGGGCTGTTTGTGGTACTAGCTATGATTTGACTGATAATGTTGCTAATCCTGTTCTTGAGTTCACAAATATTTTGGATGGTCAATCTAGTCTCAACAAAACATATATATCCCATGATGGATTAGTGGCAACCAATGGTGTATGGAAAGGACACCGTGACGTGATGGAAAATCACCCACTCGGAGTATATTCTTCAAGCCATGCCAGGCATCCACAAATGGAGCTGCCCATGACATGTACTTCTCATGTTCTACTGCCTCCTCCAAACCTGTCCAACAACCCCAACTCATCATTTGTCAGAGGAACAGAGCTTAAGAAGGCCGAGCTAATGGGAGCATACAGCACTACAGAGAATTACTTGGATCTTGATAATTCTGAAAGGAAGGGCATCATCTGCCCTAAATCTTCTGAACAAAATGTTGCCGAGAATATTTGTAATAAAGCAGCTGAATACCAATGTAATGATTATAGCCAAATTGTTTGTAATCAGCAAACAGTTCTACTCCCACTGAATAAAGCTTCACATTTCGGTGGTTTGCCAACGAAGAAGTTTGATGGTAAGCTGGTTTCACGGCAAAAAAAGCGGAAAAGGGCAACAAGTCTTCTATCGTGGCATGCACAAGTAATGTCTGGTTGTAGCAAGACACATCATACAAGGTGATGATTTTGGATTAGAAAAACCCTAAATCCCTAATATGAATATACTACAAATATTCCTTTGCTTTTCAGTGGAGTTTGCTTTTGTTGACAGATGGGCTAATAATTACTGTAATATTTCTGCAGAAAACCTGAGTTGGATTGGGCTCATGCTACCAGGAGATTGGTTGAGAAGGTTGTACATTTTTTTCAAGTTGTATAAGAACCCTTTCTATTGTACTGTATCATTTTACTTGGACTGACGAGCTTATTATCCACACCAGGTAGATGCTGAAAATATGAAGACGAAAAATAGCACATTTGTGTCTCAAGCTCAGAAAAGACTTGCTTTCACAACTAAGCTGATGCAGTACATACTTCCTGTTCTGCCAGATAGACTTCTTGCAGCAAATGCTATTGATTCCTGTGAAACCATTGTATACCGCACTTCTCGACTGGCCCTTCCTGACGCATTTAACCCAGCTATATCTTCTGTCAGTGATGCAAATAACTTCATACCAACTGAGAGCATGTAAGGTTTTTGTTTGAATTTTTTATCCCTGTTTTAGCTTAAGATCTACAATTCAAAATGATAGTTTTAACAAAATAAGATAAAAAATCTAGATAAGTAAGGAATCCTAATGTAGTCCAACAGGTTATAATTACTTCTTCCAGTCACAGATACCTGTTGTTTTGGACATACCATTGGTCAAAACTTTCATATTTTTTGAGTTTTATATCTTTTCAAATATTTAGAATGTATATGTGTGAAATCATATGGTTAGGTTCATCTCAAAAAGTACTTCCATAATACATTTTTTTTAGATTTTACAAATATATATTAAATGGAAATCATTGATCAGTATTGCATTTTGGACACCATGCCCATGTCAAAAATGACATGTCTGACCAGGAGTATATATATGTCATAACCAGCTGTACGTTTATTGCTACTATCCATAAACATTGGCACTACTCCCATCTTGCATTGATATCGAGAATCTTCTTGTGGTATTTGGCCAGGCCACAGAATCAGACTAGCACTTCTGAAAAGGAAGACGATAAACTTGTACCTGAAGTTCTGGAAACATTCACCATGAGGTTTGATGAGCTGCAAAATTCCTTCTCAAGGTGCGGATTTTTTTTCCCAAGACTGGCAGTCTTGTCAATGTTAATGTTGTCATACATCTTGACCAGCTATAGACCTTTGCCCCACTTTAGACAGCACCAAAGTTGTATTGCCAATTTCTGGCATAATATCCTCTAGTTTTCAGCACCTTGCACTGCCAAAATTGCAAATAGGCCTTCACTGTGTATTTGTGTATTTCAGAGCTGAGAGGGCAACCACGTTTCAAGATTTGGCAACCGAGACACGGGATTTGGAGCGGTGGTCCATTCTCCACCATTTTATAAAGTTGCATAAATACTCTAGATTGCATGAGGATGATGTCTCGAATATTAGACCCAAACCCTGCAGATCAACCATCCGGAAGCATGCTGGGCCTGATCAAGTGTCAGTGGACTTTCTGAATAGTGTTCGTTGTCGCCTCCTGAACTAGAATTGGTCAGTTACTAACAATTCTAGCCCCTGTTTTGCCCTGTCCTCCGCAGCCCGTGCATGTTGTAAAGCCGGGCTGTTCAGGAGCATATATTAACCATAGCATGTACTACGGCCCCCTTCTCCTGCTAGGAGATTATATATATCTTGATTCTTGTATATTCTGGAACTAGACGCGGGAGCTGTGTTGATGCCCTTTTGCGAAGAGCTACAGTATGCTTACTAAACGAAATTAACACTGGTACTGAAAGCAATATCTACTAGCTTCAAGATGTTCTTTTTCGTCCGGTTCTCTTTACACTTGAGATAATGGTCTGTCCACCGGGGAGCCATGGTGGGAATTATCCAATTTTCATGTCTACATATTTGTACAGGTACAAATGTTTTACCCAGGATTTCGATTGCTGACCCTTAAGCATTTCCCGTACCTTTTTTTATTTTTAAAGATAACTAGTGTGTGCGCATGTGTTTCATTGTAGTTATGTAGAGGCGGAGAGTGTTCTAAGTGTGGTTATATCACCTTGATATAATTGATTGAGTTCAATAAAGTTTCTATTATTTAAAAAAAGTTGGAAATGTTATGATATTGTCGAGATGCAAATTATTTTCTATAATTTTGTAAAGGGCACGAGTATAAAAGCTAAAATGGGTGAAAACTGTACTAATTTAAAACTCCATTGAACTTGATAGGATGGATCAGCCAATTATGTATCTTTGGTTGATGTTTAGCACCCGATTGGAATTCGGTAAAAGTTCTCTCATAGTTTCTGAATTAAGGGTGAGTTTGAGAGGGGGATTGAGAAGGTTGAGAAGATACGTAAAACGAGGTGAGCCATTAGCGCATGATTAATTGAGTATTAACTATTTTAAATTTTAAAAATGGATTAATATGATTTTTTAAAGCAACTTTCCTATAGAAAATTTTTACAAAAAATACACCGTTTAGTAGTTTGGGAAGCATGCGCGCGGAATACGATATCCTTTTCTCACCCAATCTCCTAGAACTCATCACGAAGAACGCAGCGTAAATGTTTTTCATGGACATTTTGCTCACCAAATAGAGCCTCGGTATAGTTCTTTAGCATATAATAAGTAAAATGGGAATTGATTAATTTATCATAAACTGGTTTTGAAACAAGCACTAACTTTTACTTCTAGTTTTGTCGTTTCCATTTGCAGCAGTCATTTACACCCGCTAGCTGGAGCTTTATGTGTTGATGACTTGATGTTAGCTGCTGAATGGATGTTTACATGGCTATATGAACTTGAAGCACAATGCCTAAACCAGTGACGGAGCCAGCGGTGACATCGGCCCTAGACGGATGGTCTTGGTTGGATCCTTCGGGCTATTAAATAGCCCTTCAAAATCTTACTATTTAGGAGTATTAAACGTAAATTACTGACAAAATCAATTCCATAACCTCTAGACTATTTTGCGAGACGAATCTAACGAGGTATATTAATCTATGATTAGCGGATGATTACTGTTGCATCACTGTAGCAAATCATGGATTAATATATCTCGTTAGATTCGTATCACAAAATAGCCTAGAGGTTATGGAATAGATTTTATCAGTAATCTACGTTTAATACTCCTAAATAACAATATTTCGGAGGGCTATTTAATAGCCTGAAGCATCCAAACAGAGCCGATGAAGAGCATTTTTAGATCAGTGTTCACGGATGTTTCACCGATCAACGGTGACAGTAGTAACTGATAACGCTAGTGGCGGAATCTCGGGACTACTTCCAATTAGGGGGAATTTAACTATTTGCTACTTTAAGGTTTGGCAATTATCCAAATGCCTTTCTTAGACCCTGTTTAAATGGGACTAAAACTTTTAAGTCTCTATCACATCGGATGTTTGGACACTAATTATAAATATTAAACGCAGACTATTAATAAAACCCGTCCATAATCTTGGACTAATTCGCGAGACGAATCTATTGAGCCTAATTAACCAATGATTAGCCTATGTGATGCTACAGTAAACATTCTCTAATTATAGATTAATTAGGCTTAAAAAATTGTCTCGCAAATTAGCTTTCATTTATGTAATTATTTTTGTAAGTAGTCTATATTTAATACTCTAAATTAGTGTCTAAATACATGGACTAAAGTTTAGTCCCTGGATCCAAACACCACCTTAGATTTGCACATATATTTTTCCCCTCTTAAGAGGTGGTCTCTTAACTATTTACCACTTTTGCCTACGTGTCATGCCAACATGGCAAACTCGGGTGAAAAAAAGTTGTGGGACCCACTTATCAATCTCTTCCCCGCTCTTCCTCTTCCCCATCGATGCCGGCGTCGCCCCTGTTTCTCCACCGCGCCTGCACCCGTCGACATCGGCGCCGCTCCGCCTCCTTTACCGCCGCTGCTCTACCTCCGCCGCCGCCCTCCTCCTCCGTCGCTACCACCTCTCCGCTCCCTCCACTGCCACGAGTCCTTCCGGCGGCTCCGCATTCTCCGTTGTCGCTTTGCCTCCGCCACCGCCGCCGCGGTTGCCGCTCTGCCGCCTCCACCATCGCGAGGTGTCTGTCCACCGCAGATCCACCTCTGCTCCGCCTCCTCTGTCGCCCTCTTCCTCCATTGCCGCCTCTGCTCCGCCTCCTCCACCGGCGCGGTTGCCTCCTCCTCTGCCGCCGTCGCCGTCGCCAGTCCGCGTCCTCCACCGCCGCTGCTCTGCCTCATCCGTCGCCACTCTACCTCCGCTGCCGCCCTCCTCCTCCGTCGCCGCCGCCACTCCGCGTCCTTCACCACCGCGAGGAGTCCGTCCGGCGGCTTCGCCTCCTCCACCGCCGCTTTGCCTCCTCCATCGCCGCGACGAGCTTGTATGCTGCTGCTCCGCCTCCGCTCTGCCTCCGACGGTGCTGGTGGTAGTCAACTGCGAGGCGGCGGCGGTGTTGACAGGTACAGGCACGGTGGAGAAGAGAGGTGATGCCGGTGTCGATGGGGAAGAGGAAGAGCAGGGGAGAGACTGACGAGTGGGTCCCACACCTTTTTTCACCCGAGTTTGCCACGTTGGCATGATACGTAGGCAAAAGTGGCAAATAGTTAAGAGACCACCTCTTAAGAGGGGCAAAAAATATGTGCAAACCTAAGAAGGGTATTTGGATAATTGTCAAATCTAAAAGTGGCAAATAGTTAAATCCTCCCCTAAAAAAAAACTTTAGAGCCTTTCCAGACCGCTAGGCGCTGGCACGTTTCATGGGTACTTTTTACGGTTTTACCGATCGAGTGGTGATAACGCCAGTGGTAGAGTCTAGACTTTCACCGATCAGTGGTGATAACTGATAACACTAGTGGTGGAGTTCAGACGACCGCCCGATGAGGTCACGTTTCATGGGTGTTTTCACCCATCATACGGTGGTAACGCTAATGACGGAGCCTAGACTATCATCAAATCATTAGGTAATAACAGCTGAAATAATTTCTATTTTCTTCGTTTCTAAAATATTTTCTTTTGGCTCCTAGAACTTCTTTTTAGAAATATAGTAAAAAGCAGGCGCCCACAATACGTGCGCTCATCCTTATGAACACACACTCTACCGAGTATCTCCGAAAAACTGGGCTGGACTTTGACGTATTTTTGCAAGTGTACAAGCTCCTTGATTAGGTGACAAACTGATATGGTCCATTTTCCTGTTCAATATGCTATTCACCCATACCCACGCTTTTTTTTTTGTCTAGTGTTCGGTATATACGGCATGCGAAAGGGCATGTAGCATATTGGTTGTAGTGACTTAAGTAGCACCTCAAGATCTTGAATTCAAATCTCCATAGGAGCTGTCGATGACATGGGACCGGGGATATCTTGACTAGAGGTTTGGGGCAGCCGCGGTCACCCACGTGGCCTGACCCCCTCGGGGGGGTCGGGCCCGAGGGTGATGAGGCCGCCCCTCCCTCTATCTCCCCGAGGGGTCGGGCCGCTCCCGTTTCGTCCCCGAGGGCTGGGGCGCCCCGACCCCCTGAGGGTTTGGCGCCACGTGTGTGGGTTAGATGAGCACAGCGGCGCTCACCTAACCGCATTTATTGCGGGTTGGACGAGCGTCTCACGCCGCATTTAATGCAGCGTAGCACATGCTTATCCGGTCCGTGATCGGTCGCAGTGTGTGACCGGTCACAGACCGGTCAGATCGCGGGTTAAGGGGCAACAGGCGGCCTGACACACGCCTCGCCCTGTCCCGTCGGAATGATGAGAGCCTTCAGGCACTCGTCCCTAGCCGGAGCCGGCGTGGGAACTCCTGGAGTTGGCACGTCAGCCCCGGCCAGATACATTCCAGGCTTCATCGCAACCATTGCAAGGAAGTCATTGTATGAAGAAGGGCAGACGTGTAGCATGCTAAACTGACACGTGGTGGACAAGAATGACCGGTCTGTGACTGGTCTGACGCCGGTCGCGTCATCAGCAAACAACCGTGCTTCCATGTTGCACCTGCTTCCGGCGGAGTGGAGGTTGGTATGACCCATCCCATCGGAGGGTCATTCGGACAGCAGCCATTGCAAATCTCCGCCTATTAATGAGGGAGGACAGGGTTATCCCGGTGTCAGACGAAGGTACAAGCCAAGTTTTGGTCAAAGTAGGATGGGTCCCCACCCAAAAGAAGGGTAGGTAGAAATGGTGTATGTGGTATCCCCTTGAGATATAAAAGGAGGACCATGCCTACCAAGAGAAAAAAAAGGGAAAAAAAAGAGGAGGGAGAGGGTCTCTAGAGTTCGAACGCTCTTGCTCTCCAGCTCTTTGTAACTCCTTCATACACAGATCCACCAGAACACAGGAGTAGGGTATTACGCTTCTCAGCGGCCCGAACCTGTCTACATCGCCCGTGTCTTGCGCATTTAATCTCTCGCGAACCATTCCACAGATCAAGGGCTTAGAACCTCACTTAGCGCCCCCGGCCGAACCGGCAAAGGGGGGCCCGCGCGGTCTCCCGGTGAGGAGCCCCACGCTCCGTCATCTGGCGCGCCAGGTAGGGGGCGCCTGTGTTTTTCTAAGCCCTCGTCCTCTTTCGTGTGCGCCAAGCTTCTCCCGCTCAGCCCAATGGCCGAACGGGCAGTGGCGCACAACCTCTCTCCGAGCGCTAGCGGTGACGACAGCGAGCAGAACCCGCGTCGTCGAGCTCGTACTCCACCGCCCCCCTCTCGCCGAAGTCTTAGGCGGGAGGAGGCGCTCGAGGGGGTCGAAAGATCCACGACTTCGCCGCCCACGAGCGATGGAGAAGGACGGCGAGACGGGGAGCGTCGTCTCCTCGTCTACGGTGATGGCAGCACGCCCCAG